CCCTTTGCACTGCACTGGTTCAAGGCTTTTATGTCCATCTCTCAATATATTGCCCAACAAACACACTCTTCTCCCAGCATCCTCTCCAAATCTGCCTGGCATCAATTACATTTCTCTTGCCACTCACCACAAATTCTTGGCATTCCCATGCTCTTCTTTAAGGACCTCCTTGCACTCACTGACACTGCTGCCATTCTCTGCACTCCCTCTGTATTGCTCAGCAACTTATCTGCCCCTGACAGAACAATCTTACACAGAGGCCGAGGGAGAAGCCTTTAAAGTACTTTTTACTGGTGTAGGAAATCCATGGATTTTAAATGAATTTTGTGGCTGTTCTAGGTCTGATACTGATATTATACATGTATGACAACTGAATAAAGGCTGTACATCCACATTTTGTATTTCACTTTTTGGGGTCACAGAGACAGCAGAATCAGATGACCAGCACATAGTCATAAAGGAGCTCAGATTCTCCCAAGTTACCTGCAGTGTGTATAAAAAGTATCGGTCCGGACACCTTAGATTAATGGGTCTGCAGATCTGGCTATAGTACTATACATCTGTGGGCTGGTTTGAGAATGGGGCTTGGTTCCTACTTGCTTATGACACAGAATACATAAGGAAGCATGCCTTATGTTTATGTTAATTAGGTAAACCACTGCAGCAATGTATCGCCTCCTGTAACAAGTAACATAGTCTAACTGTGTCTTGTAAATGAGGCAATAAGAGCGCAAATCCTGGGAGTGTAAAGGGTGTAGGGACAACCAGTGTCTATGTGTTACAGGTAAAAAGAACAAAAAAATAAAAAAACAAACAATCAAAAAACAAAAAATTAGGGACTTACTTGAGGAGCCGAGGGTCCTGGCAAGGGGGGCCCCAAAGGGGTTCTAGCGATGCGAGACATATTCGGTGTATCCTGGGGGTGAAAGGATAAATGAAAAACCAATTTGAACTGAGTGCTGTGTGCAAAATTCTTAGCAGTCTCCTATAATGTGGAAGCATTTTCACAATCTTTTGTAACATAGCAGTAATCTCCGATTGTCCCTTGCAACATGGCAGCTGTCTCATGCCTTGTTCACACCAAGGAGCAGAGCAGTTACAGACCGGATCAAAACTGCGTCCAATGTATTCCAATGGTATTTTGGGCTCTAGTTCACACCGCAGCGTTCAGTTCCAAAGCGTGTAAAAAAGCCTGCAGCAAGCCCTATTTTACCTGCTCTGGAAGGCATGCAAACGCATCAAAAATGCATGCAATCGCCCTGGAATGCACTAAAAGCCCAACTAAAACTAAAAAAACCAAACACTTTTTTTAACCAAAAACGGCCCGGAATGCATCGAAAATGCAGCACAACCCACTGCACTGCGTGTGCAGAAACTCATGCACATCTGGTCTGCATTTGGTACGAACAAGCCGTCAGTCTTTTGTAAAATGACCGAATCATCTAATAATGCAGTATGTAATGCAAACCTCCCAACTTTCCGAGATGAGAAGGAGGGATACATTATGGCACAAAGTATGTAGGCAAAGGACATACACCTACCATGCCCCCAGTTATGAGAACCACAGAAGTAGTACACAAAAAAGTGATTGTTTAAACTCAAAAGTGCTTTTATCACCACTACTTTTTCTTTGTAGTCGCTAATAATAAAGTCAATCATTTAAAGGTTGGATGAAAGGTTTGATGTTCAGTAGTGTAACACTTTTGATAGTTTAACTGCTTCCTGGCCATCCATAATTAAACAGCTGGCTGGGAGCTTCTTGGATGTAACAGGCCGTCTGAAGACGGCCTGTTAGCCCCGGCCATTCGTGCAGGGGAAACTAACATTTAAAAACAGGCAGCGATGCCTGTTTACATACAAGTGATCCGACGGATCGCTTGTATGAGGTGCCGATCGTGCGCCCCCTGCAGCGCTGGTCCCGAGCTCTGCTGTGCCTGGGGTGGGCCGGGACCACCACTGCAGCTTTCTGACAGGGGATCAGAGGGAGTTCGGTGTCAGAATGTGGAAGTGATGTATATTACATCACTTCCACATTCTGCTGTCACTCTCCGGTTACAGAAGCTCGAGAGAAGATGGTGAAGCAGATCCCTGCTTCATCAGCTTCTTTGGGAGTCCCTAGGTGACATTAGGAGACCCCTGATGTCTCCATAAAGAGGACCTGTCACATCCTCCTTGCTATCACGTAGGGGGCTTCTTATCCCCCATGTGATAATAATAAAGTTAAGTGAAAAAAAGTTTAAAAAAAAGTCACACATAAAAAAAGAATTAAAAAAACACAAACATTTCCATAGCCCCACATACAAAAAAACAGATTTCTGGTATGTTGTTAAAACGAGTGTGACTTTTGAACTCACCGTGAGGTTAGTTGTGATGTGATATCAGCGACATGTTGCTTGTTGTCCTGGAGGTGATGTAAAGGGTGAGTACAGATCCATTTAGTTGGTTGTGATGCGGGATCGGCGGTGTAGATTCTGTGATGAGCTGGTTGGTGTACTTATGGTGACTTCAAAAGTCACACTCATCTCACCCTTGCTATTATCATCGTTTCCACTTCGGTTTACAAATGCCACCAACCCATAGGACCAAAAAGCACATCCACGCAACAATACCACAACTTCAATTATGCTTTTATAAACGTAGCCCATATCCACCCCCCACAAGTGAGTATAATACCGTTTTTACTCCTTGTCCTATCACACCTTAGTTACTGCACTAGGTTGTAACGCTTCGGTCTCTTTCCTTTTGTGATCTCCCTCAGCCACTTCCTGTTTACATGTATGCATATCAGCAATGGCTGCATGGCAATACTCAGGGCTGGTTTACCGATGGTAAGAAAAGTGTATCATTTTTGTGTTGAAAGAACCTGTTGATTGCCAGTGCAAGAGCACAGTTGGGAGAGGGGGACAAAGTGTTGTCACCTCATAACAGGAAGAGCCTGAACAAGGACCTTGATAGCAGAATCGCCAAGCATACTGAGTGATGCAGACTTAATATGTATTGGAAATTACTTTTGAAATCACAAGCTTCTTTGATAGTTTAGTGAATGGTTTTACAACATGCCAGCAAATAACATCTACTTTACTTGTATGATCATTACACTAATGTGAAATGGCCCACGTAAACAAAATAAGATTAACAGCTAAATGAATGCAACAAGTACAACTTCCACAGACGCTTTTTATCCCAGTTGACCTGTGCTGACTTGAACCACTGACCTTTAGGTCATAGTTAATTTCATCCTATGAGCCACTGATTTAGCTCCTGCTGGGATTACCTTCTCAACGTAATGGTAAGAGATTTGTATGTGCACAACATCTGAAGAAAGTGGAGCAAGAATCTCAGAAACACTAGTTAATTGTTATTAAATTAGAATCAATAGAACTGTTTAACAGTGATGAGCTATGGGAATTTTGCCTACTTCCACTCAATTAGTCAGCTGTGCATTTCTTTATGCTTTTCAGCTGGTGTCTTTATTTCTCGAATATGGTTGGGTCTTAACACGTACAAAGCCGTTGGCCTGTTTCTTTTTTGCTCCTGTGGTGAACCAGGAGAGTTGTTGCATCTTGAACCAGTAGAAAATATATAAGTAAAATATTAAAGTGACACTAAACTCAGGAGTTACTGTGAATCTTAAAAATGCCTTTAAGTATTAATTATTAACAAAAATGTAGCTTATTTGCATCACTTAGCTGTAGATCCTCAAATCATCTCTGAATTGGTGCTGACAATGTCCTTCGTTCTGGAGGGTGGCTACTTTTGTTCCCCATGGTACACTCCAAGCTCACTCCCGTGATGGACTACAACCTAATACAAATTAGTGAACTAAACATGAGATTGTAGTCCATTACAGGAGTGAGCTTGGAGCGGTGGCTACTTTACAACACACACAGGGACCATGGGGAACAAAAGTAGCCACCCTCCAGAAGGAAGGACAGTGTTAGCACCATTTCAGAGATGATTTGAGAAAATACAGCCGGGTGATACCCAAATAAGCTAAATTCTCCTTCATAGTTAAGGTACTTGAGTGCATTTTTAAGGTTTAACTCCTGATTTTAATGTCACGTTAAAGCCCAATTACAGCTACTCAATGGCTAAATTCACAATGTAGTCTAGAGATAAACTAAAGAAACTTTTTTTGTCTTGACTAACTGCACACTGAAATGCCTACTAGAACTTGTATGCCTTTCGGTCTTATGCACTAATGTTCAATAATTTATAGTTAATAATAATTGTGGTAAAACCACAATCAAAAAATAATTCATAAATGTAAGCAAAACTAATTGAGGGTCTGATGCCAGCAAAACAGCAGAAATTCAAAAACAAAATCATAGGGCTGCAACCAACTAATCGATAATAATTGATTATGAGAATAGTTGTCAACTATTTTCATTATCAATTAGTTGGTTGGATCCCGTAGCTCTCTCCTCCATGCTGGGAGGAAGGCATAGCAAGCAGTGGGTGGGTGCAATGGCCAGCCTGCTATTGGCTATTGCAATTTGAAATGGCAAATAGCAGGCTGGCTATTGCACAAGCCCACTACCTGTTGTATTTTCATTCAGCTGCTGCCTGTGGAATCTTGCCACTGACAGCTGTCATTCCCTGGCTGAAGCTATTCAAGCGCCATGTGCTTACAATACAGTTATTTTTTTTAAAAATAGGATAGCAGGGAGCAGACAGAATAACTTGGACCACTTAAGTGCAACGGCTGTGAATTTGGAGGATGAATTGCTCTACAGTGTCTGCAGCTAAGAGGCCAGTAAGGGCTTGTTTTGAATCTTATTTGCATCTTGTTAAGAATATGTAAATACTTCAATATCCATAGCCTGGCCGCAGGTACAGTTTAGGCGGTAAAACAGACAATGTGATTTTATAATGTGATTTTAACTTGTATAAATGCGCATACTACAGGTAAGATTTACTCTCTCCTTCCCCGGACAACAATGAACTCAGATAAATCAAACTTTTTCTTAGGAAATTCATATTATGTTTTATTTAAACAGGTTGTTGAAGGCAAGTTGGCGCCCTTTCTCATGAAGGTGATCAAGTTTGCCACATCCCATGTGTACAGCTGCAGTCTGTGTAGTCAGAAAGGCTTCATCTGTGAAATATGCAACAATGGGGAGATTCTGTACCCCTTTGAAGAGAACTCTACAAGCAGGTACATTTTCACAAATGGAGTATTTGATCTCAGCACAGTTTTGTTTGTGCTTTCTTTAACAAGCTGTATGCTCTTTCTTTGGAAAAAAAAAACAAGTATTCAGTTGTTCCAGTGTCTTGTTGCTAAGCAAAACATAGGCTCCATTCACGCATGAGTGCGGAAATGTGCTAAACATAAAAAACAATGCATTCTAATGGGAATTGTTCACACTAGGCCAGCGTTCTTGCGGTATGACAACGCGCGTCCCGCAAGAAAGTCCTAGCACGATTTTCTAGGCGGATTCCGCGTGTTTGCAGCTATAGTAATTGCCGCAAACACGCAGAACCAGCAAGTATGTTAACGGTTGCATGTTTTCGTTCTGCGCGGAACATGCTACCGCTATGTGTGAATGGAGCCTAAGGGGCATTTTCCTCAAAAAAAAGAAAGGCTCTTCGGAAGCCTAAAATGTCAACTTCCAAAATAATTGGGAAAAAACACCCACAAAATAAACACCTCATTTGTTTCACCTGTGTTTGTCAGGATGTTATGTGTGTCTATGTATTGCTGTTTTAAGTACTGTATTTGATTTACACATTATACTGTACGTAACACTTGCGTGCAAAACAATTTTTACAAGGTAGCAAAGGTTAAAGACATTTTGTCAGTTGCATAAGTATTCACCCTCTAAATCAATACTTTATAGACCCGCCTCTGGTATTTTGTATTCCTCACCAGCTTTATATACTTAAAATTTGAGTTGAAAAAATTTGCAATATTATCATGCGATGTGAAAAAAAATTGCAACTGCCACCATTTTGGGCCCCTTTTACACTCCGATCGGGTCCGCCTGTCAGTTTTTCAGGCGGACCTGATCGGATACCCAATGCAAGTCTATGGGTAGCTGTGTGTAAATAGACGTGCGTCTGTTTACACCCAGTTACTCCCGCCCCCGGACAGGTTCGGAAAAACGAACGAATCGGACATCCGTTTCGCCGGACCAGATTGGGCGGTCGGTAATTGGACACATGTACGTTTACATCCGATTCCCCATAGACAAACATGGGGTACGGTGATTGCAGTTTTTTTCTTCCATCGCAAGATGGAAGAAAAATCTGCGGACATGGATGTCATAGCGATGACATCCGCTCCGTACTGCTGTGATCCTCTCCTGATCAGCCCATGTGAAAGGGGACTACTTCTCCAAAGCCTCTGCTCTAAAAATATATATATTTGGGGGGAAGATAAATAATCTTCAGGCCTAAAGTGTGCATTTGAATATGCATGCAAAAAATACAAAGACGGCTCTAGCAGCGAAATGGAGAAAGGCATTTTGGTTCCAGGTTTTAACATAAAATGTGAAGAATGCAATTGGGATCAATACTTTAGAAAAGCATTTTGTAATTCTCTGAAACAGAGGCTTGTTATTAACCAATAATACACCAGGGAACATGGATTTCTTGGTATACTTTGGTTCCAGGATCTGTAATAGGAAGTAATGTCTTTGTTGAGTGCAGGTACCTTGTCGCTTGGGAAAGACACGTTTCTAGTGCTGTTACAAGCAACATAAAGCATAGAAGAATATTGTATTATTTTCCACTGACGGAGTAATTTCTCACGTATGTATTTTTTGTATTATTTGTAAAGTGCAGGATTTAAATATTTGTATTTTCTGTACCAAAAAAATATCCCCAGTGTAGCAGAATTCACTTTACATTGCTTTAAAGTAAGCCCATCATCAGTTCTACCTTATGATTACACATGTCAGACTGTAATGTAAACATGATATACAGCTGCACCATATAAAGAATGATAGAGAGGTTGCTCATGTGCAACTGAGCATCTGTTATTGTTTCAGACACACATATTCATTGTACATGGAACATTACTATATTTCCACTTCTTACTTTATCCAAACACTTCACTCTGTATGCTGCAAGTTAGATCAGCCTTCAAACAGTGTTTAGAGCATTGTGAATGTTGGAAGGAGACATAGCAGCTACTTAGGTTTAACACTTGTTACAAAATATAGATTCAGCTAAAAGCAAAATGTTTTGGGAAGCTTAGAGGTTCCTTTTAACCTCCTTAAAGGTAGGAAAAATATTGAATAAAATACTTTACTATATTCTATAATATAGTATATGAGAGCCCAGCTCCAGACAGAATGGGAACAGAGTGGGAACGGGTTAGAACTTCCGTCAGGTTTTAAATGCTGGCTGTGTCCCCATTGGGGGAAACTTCCTCTTACATCTTGTTACCTTCACCTGGACAGGGAGTGAGGGAAATCCCCCAATAGGGAAATAAACAGTGATAGAAAATGTTTTATGCTGTGGCAGTCACCTTATTTCCAGTGATCTCTGATGCTTATGCAATAGGCAAAAAGTGAAGGTAAATGTTCACAATGAAAACATATACGCATATACATATACACTTCAAATCCTTCCACATTTTTCCAAAATTAAAAAAGGGTTTTGCCTGAGTTAGGCTTTAATAATAATATTTCCCACTTATATAACATTCAATAATGTCTTTAAGAAAAAGTTTACAAACAACCATCTTCTATATTAAAAGCCAAAGGAGCAGCAATACAAGATTTGTGTTTTGTGTTTTTTTTTGTTTCCTTCCCTAAGTTGTGTTGCTTTGTTTCTAATTTGGAGAGCGCAAAATATTTTTGTGAATACAAAGCAGCCAGGAGACGCTTTGTATTCACCAAGCGGAGTACTTCCACCAACTTGCACTGTTCAAATCAATGTTTATACCCAATCAGTATGGTAATGTGTTCTTTAACACATTACTGCATTGTGGTGCCATTCAATTTCAATGGCACCCTGACGCACAAAGGCAGTGTACCTGTGTTGCAACACATCGCAACATAAAGTAAGGCAGTACCACGGGTTGTGCTGCACGGCATCGGGGGGAAAAAAGTACATGTGTGGATTTCATCAGTGGGGAATGTACAAGGCTGGAGTCTGGGTGGGGGGATAGCATGCATAATGGCTACTATTCTTATGAACGGGACATTAAGGAGACAGGGGGCTTTGCTGGTATAATTTTATATTTATATAACAAAATTTCTGCCTGGAATCCAGATTTAATGCAACCCACATAAACACAAGTTAATGCAATACACCAGAACAGAAAGGTGTAAAGGGGCCTTAATCCCCTTTGCTCTATGGCACACTGATCACCTTTGCATTTTTTTACTCCCGTCAAAACTCAGTTGCTTACATTGCCTAGCTATAAAATAGTGTTTACTTGTTACAGCTTTACTACAAAGACAATACATCAAGACCTGTTTTTCACGCATGTCTTCCCACATTAAATAAGCAAAGCAATACTAAATAGTTTCATGAAAACGGGCATAAAAAGCTCTACAGTCATATACTGTATATTTTATTTATACATTTATTTTAGGACAGTGCTCGACATTATACACCATGTTGTTCTAAAAACCACTGGTTTCAAATATACCAGATAACAGATGAAAAACTAAAATTTACCTGGTCAATAATATAATGTTTAACTAGGAAGAAAAGGTAGAGGAGAAGAGAATGAGAGGATGGGTAAAGGAAAAAAGTAGGAAACCACAAAAATGTCCTTAAAATGCAATAAATAAGCAAGTAGACATAAGTTGAATGGTTTTTGGACCTCTACCACAGTAGTATGTATTACCGCATAATCAAACAACATTTTGACACATTGACATGTAATATTTGATATAAATTGTAACTGATACCCATAGTCCAAGGAGAAGCAGAAGGAACTCATTAGGGGTCAGAACAAGGAGTGAATATAGAGAAAATAATTAGAGGAGGCTAACTGGGAAAAGGGGGTCACCAAAAGAAGAGGCAAATCTGGAGCTGAAGGTTGAGCAGAGGGCATACAAGAGAAGACAAAATGGCAGCTGATTGTCATTTTGGGCTGGCATAGAGTAGGCACAGTGGAAGTTAATCATGCCAGAAATGATGAGAGCAAGTAGAGGTAGCTGACCATGGAACATTGCTATAGTAGGCAGAGCTGTGGTCTGGGAGTGACAGATAAAAGGGGTGCTGGAGGAAACTGATCATGGACCAGGGTAAAGAGGCTGGAGACACAGTAAGAGCCGAGTGTGGGGAGGGGATAGATGAGGCTGAATGGGACTTGGTCAAAGCCTAGGAGTAGAGTGGAGCAGCTGATGGTTGGGGGGCCTGCAAGGGAATTCAGAGAAGGAGCTTGTGAAGGACTGGGGACAGTAGTAAGAAGAGACAGAGAGGGAAGGTCATCATTGCCATGGTGACAGAGAGGAAGGTGACTGATCAGAAGAGAACATTCAGACATTCCTACATGATTAGTTAAATGCAGGGGCTTGTTAGTATTCCCAAAATGTATAAAACACATCAAGATCAGCAAATGATACTACTGTCTCTCAACAGTGGTAAATGGATGGCCCCATTTCATATATTATATGGCACGTTCAGAGGTCATTCTCCTTCCTCAACCAACAGTGATGGGGAATTACCCCTTGTAATAATAGAGGGAACAATTAAAAACTTTCTGAGACAAATCTTAACGTTGTCTCAACTAGAATCAGCTTTTAAATGTTCATTTCCTGATTGATTACTGTGGACAACCGCACCAGTTAAAACAGAACTTGTTTCAGACACTTTAATTCCCCCATTGAGTCTACTATAGTAGTAATGCGGAATAAATAAACTGGAGGACTCTCAGCATTGATATGGATTTTGTGTCAATCTATTCTCAGGCTATTCGTATAAATATTTAAACACAGAGTCACAGACACATGACAGGACAACACATAAAGGAATGCTAACCTGGGAGTATTCCCATTTAAGAAACAATTAGTGAAACAGGGATTTTGGAACAGGTAAACACTGAAGTTCATTCAACTTCTGAAACTATGTGTGCACTCATAAATTAGTGTAAGCTGCCAGTGGAGAAGCTACTTGTCCTTCAACTTCTTCTTAGCTTATGGATATACAAACAATATTTGTTTAACCATAAAGCCATTACCCCCTACCCTCTCA